GTGGACGATCCAGAAAGGCTCTGCGGAGTTTGTGGAGAACATCCAGAGTCTGTAGAGGAGCTGAGGAGTCACCTTCAAAGTCACCAGAAAACACACCGCTGTGGAAAATCTTTCCTCACTGCGGTTGGTCTGAATGGTCATGCTGCTGTACACACAGGAGAGAGACCATACAAATGTGATGTCTGCCATAAAGCATTTAAGTTTAAGGCTAGTTTGAAGACTCACCGGTGGAAGCATGTGGAGGATAAACCACACAAATGTGATTACTGTGATCAGGCTTTTGCTTTCAAACAGCAGCTGAGGGTTCACAGCAGGACCCACACAGGTGAGAAGCCTTACAGCTGCGATGTGTGCGGAAAATCAGTCCGTGACTTTCGAGCTTTAGCTTATCACAAGTTGAGGCACACTGGGAAAAAACGTTACGGCTGTCAGTTTGTGGGAAGCGTTTTTTAACTCCTCAACGTGAAAAATTCACACAAAAACGTACTTCTGATGTTTGCTGTAAGACATCTCCCAATCAAAGTTGGTTAAAGTTTCAGCTGGAAACACACAGCGAGGAGGTGGGATGGGATTGTCTTGTCAAGCATCTCTGAAGAGACACATATTTGTCCACACTGCGGAGAGACCGTATAAATGCTCAGGTTGTGGATGAACCTTTAGCACTTGGAGTATTCTCAGAGGCCACTGTTCAGTCTTCAAACCGTTTGTCTGTGGGGTTTGTGGGAAAGCGTGCGCTCACCAAGAACACCTGATGGTCCACATGAGGACCCACAGCGGAGAGACACCTTACCAGTGCACCGTCTATGGCAAAGCCTTCACTCAGAGCGAAAACAGCCAGCAGTGGATGAACTGAAGACAGGAAGAGTCTGTAACTTTTCTACTGAATGGAGAGGGGAAAAAACCTCAGTGTTCATGTGTAATAATTTACACAAATGTGTCCAGTGGTTTTTATTTTAGGTTTCAGTAACCAGCATTTCAAGCTCACTTCATCATGTGTTGTACTGAGAAGAACATAAACATGATACTGCTGAAAGTTCTCAATGGTGGAAGAAGAAGTATTAAAATAGTGTTGTTATGTTTAATAATGTTTAATAATGTTACCAAGCTGCAAATGCAATGCTACTAACAACATTGCCCAGATGAGCTGAATTAACATTAACCAGACTTTAAATATTAATAATAAATATTTGATTTAATTCATTAGAATCACAAAAGAATTAGCGCTTAATTTTTCTATAAAGATGTTTATTTTGTTGAGGAAAAGGGACAGAAAAAAAGTCACTAATCACATTTTTTGAAAAAAGACCATGATCATAATTGTTTTAAATGTTCTACCTCAGATATGTTAAGTGATCTACTGTTTGGCATCAAGTGTTTTTCACGTTCTGACCGTAAAGAATTGTTTATCCACACAATTAACCGTGTGGCCCTTCAATTTTCACTCTGGAGCAAACATCAGCTGATTTGACATTTATCTTGATAATTATCGATATCAAATGATATGAAATGTTTTTATCGTGATTACAGTCCACCCTTATGTTACCCTTCATTTCAACCAAGCGGAGTATTTCCAGAAAACGTGTCTGACATGAAAAATCTCCTGTCGTGTCTGAAGTTCATATAGTAGTACAAGTAACAAGTAGGGGGTTTCACCCATCCACCTGCCTAATTCTGTCTGAAGGCTCTGACTCACTGTTTCAGACAGAGGATGTGTACAGGGCCAGTATAAGATAAGGAATTGTTTTTAAACTGTGAATCATGCAAAACTATTAGTAGAGCTGCAACATAATATGTCCCCTTTAAATGAAGTGAGTGTCATAGTGTAGAAAAGTCCTACAGTACAGATATTGGCATCAATGTATACTTGAAGTACTGAAGTAAAAGTACGTGTAATGATACTGCTGGGCAGCTTGTGAACGCGTTAGCAGCGTGGCTGTAGGCAGCGTCCGTCAGTCCACCACTTTGGTTCAGACTGAAATATCTCAGCAGCTATTGTGGGAGAAAACCTTCAGCTGTTCAGGTCCTCTGGAGGCAGTGTGATGCTTTGGGTGATGTACTGCTAGGAAACCTTGGGTGATGCTATTCATGTGGATGTTACTTTGACACGTACCACCTACCTAAGCATTGTTGCAGACCATGTAGACCGTTTCGTGGAACTGCTGAACGAGTGGCCTCTTATAATGTGCCCTCCCACAAAACAAAAATGGTTCGTCTTTGAGGAACAACAACAATTGACATTAATGGCTGTGTGATGGTTATTTTGAGGGGACGGCAAATTTACACTGTCTTACACTCACTACAGTGTTGTCACATGAAAAGATATAATCAAATATTTACAAACATGTGAGGGGTGTACTCTCTTTTGTTAAATACTGTATCTATGATGACTCTATTCAATGCATTGCTCATAAATGTGATCCCCAGAGAATGAACGTTTATTCTTATTATTACCTGCTACAGCAGGTCAGGAGCTTATAATTATCTTAACGTCCAGTGTACTTTATGGATTGGCACAGGACTTTTACAATTTGTTACAAACATTCATTGTATCCAGACTAACTTTATATTTTTCCAACAGAAATTGGCGTCCATGGTATTGGACACGCCTGGGGTGATGTTAACGCTGGGGTTACAAAAAACTTTATATTTCTCACTTGACCACCAGTCCAACCTTCACATTTCACTCACATTTGAGAAGCAAGAAACGGTGACTATTTAGAATTTTTACTCACTATATCATCTATATTAAACTGAGACAAATTTTTTGTTTTAGACATTTTATTAAATGGCGTGTATGAATCCTATGACCAAAATAGTCGTCGTGTTACTTATGGATGAAATTAAAGTTAAAAAAAAAACAATGATTCCCGTTTTTGCTGGCGACAGCCTGAAACCCTAAAAGGACTACTTTGAGAACCATTGTCCCAAAAGATGTCCAATGGGCCTCAACCACAATGTCAGAAAAACAATCTAAAGAGTCCCTGCAAAGATGTTTGGTTTGTGAAAATTCTGATAAAAGTGAGACATGCTGTCACAATTACCCAGATCCCAAAGGGACACCTTCACAATGCTGCTGTGTCCAAACCTCAACCTTATTAACAAGTAAAATAATATCAACAGGGCTCAACGTTAAACTTATTTGCAACTGGCCCCATTGGGCCTGAAGACAATTTTTACTGGACCTTCCTCCAAAAGTTATTTATCAGTTTTACAACAAAAACAAACACTTATAAGTTATGTTATACTGTTAACATGTTTAATCGTTTATTAAAAACATCCTGGATATAAAAAAAAAAAAACTAACAAAAAATGAATCACAGTTAAAATTAGCCTAAAAAATAAAAAGGTAAAAAAAAAAAATGAACTTTTAAAACAAAACATACTAACAGACTCTAACATGACACCCATTTAATAAAATGTACACAGAGCAGCGGACTCGCCCCTGCTGGCCGTTAGAGAGAATGCAGGTTTAAGTTCTGTCTGCATGGTTTCACTTTCAGACCCAGAGGTTGCTGCTTGATTGAGATTAGAGAAATAACATTTGACAACCACTGGATTGGACAACGGTGCGCACCATGAGCTGCAAAAAAACTGCAGGATGAGGAGTGTCTAAAGCGAGTTTTTGGTTTTCTCTTTTTTAATACTAATGTTTTTGATTGAGTCAGTGAGTTTTTAAAAAACAAAGTTCTACATGTGTGTAAAGTAACTAGTAACTAACGTATCAAAAACTGATGTAAAAAGTACAATATTTCCCTCTGAGATGTGGTGGAGTATAAGTAGGAAGTGACATGAAGAGAAAATGCACAAATAAAGCACAAGTACCTTAAAGTTGTACTTAAGAACAGCACTTCAGTAAATCAGTTTTCAGGTGAATTTCTGCCTCATTTGCATAAAGTCAAAATTTTGCAACACGTATGCACATTGGAGGGAGAAGGCACCGATCTCTGTCTGAGTTTCTGCCAAGTTCCCAGAAAAGTTGAGAGACGGCACCATTTAACAGCCCAAATAGTCGGCAGGTGAAGGTGCAACCCCTAACTAAAATTAGTAAAACGGAAAAGAATTAGAGCACATAAAACCATGTAACATTATAACTTTAAAATAGGATCAGCATGATTAAAATGCAAAAGAGATTTAAAAGAGGAAATCATGACAGCCTGTTACTGATAGAGAGTTGGCACGCCGTGTTAAACTGTAAATAGAAACAAAACATTTAAACTCCATCAAAATAGCACAAAGGCAACTTATCAGATGCTGAAACTGGTCATTCTGATTCAGTGTTTTGTTTACAACATTGTAATTTTCCTGCCCGGTGTAGAAAAATAAAAGGTAACACAAATTTGCTGGGCAGATCAAACCAGAATACAGACATCAACGCAACACACATGTCACTAAGCACAGATGAACTGTACATCACAATGCAAAGCAGATTCCCCCCAAAACTTAAAAACAGCACTGCCAGTATAGCTGTTATGATGTGGAAAGCCCTTCTCTTTGATTGGTCAACTCGCTCTCTGTTCTCACCCACTGGACGCCTGAGAGCGCAAAGAACTGAAATACTGCAAAAAGACATTACAACTAAGAAGAGAACCATAGTGCAGTAAAACAAAATCACATTCAACTCATGGCTGCTTGGATAAGTTACAGCCACATATCCAAAGCTCAGTAACCAAACACATCCAATGCCGATGTTTCTGATTCTGACTCCGCCCGCCTGTCTCAGTCCCAGGTAGGTGATGGGGTGAACAACAGCCAGATAGTGCTCCACACAGGTCAGGAGGTGAAACAGAGACTGTCCAAAGGAGGTGCCACACCAGATGTAATACCCCACAGTTATCATGTATTTGAGATGGATGTATCCGCCACAAAAAAAGAAAACAAACCCCTGGAATTCGATCAGCTGCATGGCGATGGAGTGAAAGGTGAAGAGGTCAGAGTGACTTGTTGCAGCCGTGGAAACCGAGCGCTGTTTCCTCCACTGTTGGTATCCCAGGTAGAGGACGAAGAGGAGGAGAGGGAGGAGGAGGAGGTTGATGATGGAGATAGCAGAGAAGACACAAATACTGATTTTGGACCCGAAACACATGTTGAAGAGAGGAGGGACGGAGGAGTTGGAGGAGGAGAGGTTATGAGGAAAAACGGAGGGGTCATCAAAGGAAGAGGCGTTGACTGACATATTTATATTTGTGAAGGTCTAAAGAGGAGAAGGAGAGCCACAGACAACCAAAGGGGGAGGTGAAGAGAGACAGAATGTTAAAATCAAATGGAGACACGTAGAAAATAAATTACTTCTCTAATAACATGTAATGGAGTTAAAATGCACTTTATCAATTGTTATTTTCAATTTGTATTTGTGAATTTTATTTATTATTTAATGGTTTTTTGAAGAATGTTGAATTATATCTCATCGAGCTGTTTTTATTTATTGTTATTTTAGCTGTACACAATCCCATTTGTACCTCCTAAGCTTCCGTAGTCCTCACTTCTGTTATGCACTGCTGAGGGTAAGTTGTGCTGCTGTATTGTTTTCTTTGGAAATTGAACCGTTTAAAACTTTTAACACGCATATAATGTTGATATGATTATGTTACATAGCTGTTTTATGTTGTTTCAACTATTAATATAAGCCGGGGCTGTGTCACGTGAGAAAGTGGGTCATGATCTCCACCCACCCTGGTTCGTTCCATGGGACTTGTGTTTTGAGAGGGGTGTTTGGGGTCCTGTTTCTTGTTTTGGGTTGGCTTGCTTTTGGAACGTTCCTTAAGGGAGGGTACTGTCAGGGTATTTGGGTTGGTGGGGTTTCTTTGTAGTTGTTTCCTGTGTTACGTTGTAGTTTTGTTCTGCCCTCCAGTTCTGTGGCCTGCACTACGAAGGGAGTTCAACTTACTCAGAGTTAACTCGGGGTTATCAAGCAAACTAAGGGTTGACAAACTCTGACCGCCTACACTGGAGTTAAACGGTACTACAACGGTGGATAAGATATTGGTTAGTGAGTCGGTGTAAACTTAATTGGAGTTGATGCGCGTTTGCATAAAAGGGGCGAGTTCGGCCGTGAGTTTTGTCGCAACAGCACATGCTCCATATTTTCCCTAGAAGAATGCACGTTAATTGTGTCAGGAAATTATGAATGTAAAGACAAGTCAATGGCTAAATCTAACATCGTAATGGCCGAAAAAGCCAGGGAGGCTTGTTGGCATCGCATTGAGTAAATTTACTTAAACCTAATTATCTTCACTGTGTTCTTATTGTAGTTCAAATCTCTTATTATGTATTTTATGGGCTCTTCTTTTATGTGTAATATGATTAAGATGTAAAGGTGCAACTGCACATAAGGTCCTTTGTAATAGAAAAAAAAGGAGCGAGCGGAGACGGGTAATAATCCGAGGCAAAAATTTAATTTCCAAGATTAACCTACAAG